TAAAATATAATATAAATATTTTTAATTTATTCTGCTCCTGTTGTATAAGTTTGTCTTTAATTTCAAGGTAGGAGAAGATTTACAAATCCCTTGGTTTGTATAAGATATGGCAGAGGACGAATCAAAATCTCTGGAGTATACACCATCATTGGTGGTTGCTGTTGTCCGCTTTGTAATTGTTCTCATATCTCCTATTGTTGAGCGTGTTCTTCGCCATCTTGGGAAGGTATCAGTAAGGGTTGTCAGACCCAAGATTTTACTTAAATTTTTTTTTTTGAACAGCAAAGAAAATGTATATTATCAAACTGAGTACAAGGGGTACTCAACCCATTAAGTTATACAAAGTAACAGTCATCCAATGTTAGTTTCCTCTTTTAGATCACTTTTCAATTAATCCCACCCCTATTGCTAGACAAACATGCTGCAGAATTAATTAACCAATATGAAAGAGTAAAGTAACACCTGGATTTTTTTGCTTTAATCCATGCAAATGATCTCAGTTGAATAAGTTCTAGCAGCTGACCCATTAATTTCTGTATCCTGGAATATTTTGCGATTTCTTGCCATCCATACTGTCCATATGACAGTATTCCAGATGCAATCCCAACCTTCTGCTATGTGTGGGTCTTTGATCTCATTCCCGAATTGGTCAAAAGTGTTGCAACAGTCTTCCTTTAATGCTACCGTGGTCCCCCACCATCTGCTGCAAGCTTTCCAAAGCCATTTACTTAATTTGCAATTTAGAAATAGGTGGCTGGCGTCCTCATACTCCTCGCATATACCACATTTTGCCTCTTCCATGTCCTTGATAACTCCTCTTCTATGTAGATTAACTTTGGTAGGAATTCTGTCAAGTATTACTCTCTAATTGGAGGCAGCTATCTTGCTCGGAAGCATGGGATTCCATATTCTCTTTGACATTTTTGCTTCCTTCGATCCCGTCCGTTCTTTTGTCAAATTCAAATAAGCCATTTTTGTTGAGTAGAGACCATCACTGCTGTGAATCCATTGCCATTTGTCAGGGCGTCCAGGAGTGATCTTCACGTTGTCTAGTATCCCTTGGAGTTTCATAGTGTCCTCTTTTTCCCACTCAAACAAGGTTCTTCTCCATGAAAGATTCCATTTCCATGTACCATCTTAAGTATTACCCATATTGGTAGCATTCTTTGTCTTTTCCTATTGACAAAAGGTATAATCTAGGGAAAATGCTAGCAAGACATCCCTCCCCACACCACTCATCCCACCAAAAACTCACTCCTTTACCTTCTCTTATCCTTAATCTAAAACCATCTTCAAGCCCTCCTACATTCTCTCCATATCTATTATTGAGGTTGCATACATCCCTCCACCATAGTGAACCCATTCATCTACCGTCTCTTACCCAATCCATTCAATTACCTCTTCCCTCGCTATATTTTCCTTCGATAACCCTCCTCCACAACCCCTCATCCTTGGATGCTAGACATCCCCACCATTTTCCTATTAATGCTAGATTAAATCTCCTCATGTCTTTCACCCCTAGCCCGCCCCACTCTTTATTTTTACAAACCCTCTCCCAACTTACCCAATTTATTTTCCTTGCCTCCCCTTCTCCCCCTCATAAAAAATTGCTACGCATTTTATCAATGGATTTGAGAATACCTGAGGGAATTCTGTATATCGACATCAGGAAAACGGACAGACTAGACAGTACAGAATTAATGAGCATGATCCAGCCTCTGATAGAGAGATGTTGTCCTTTCCAGCTAGTTAACTTCTTTCTAAATGATCGTAACAGTGGCTGCCACATTGCTAACCTTCTATGATTCCCCCCAATCGGAACTCCCAGGTATTTAAATGGAAATTTTCCCTCTTTGCAACATAAAATGCAAGTCATTCTGTCTTTCCAATCATTATCCACCTCCACGCCCAACAGTTGACTCTTCCCAAAATTGATTTTCAATCTTGACACCATTTCAAAGATTCTCATGATGCATTTAACCACCCTTATGTTGTCTTCGGTTGCCTCTCCGAAGAAAATAGTATCATCTGCAAATTGTAGGTGGGACACCATTATTGCTCCATTGCCAATTGTTGCTCCATTGCCGATCGTCACTCCCTTGTATAACTCCTTCTCCACCGTAGTAGACATTAGGCCATTTAGACCCTCCGCCACAATTAGGAACAAGAAAGGAGATAGTGGGTCACCTTGTCTTATTCCTTTACCAACAGGAAATTGTCTTGTCGGGCTTCCGTTGATGAGGACTGAGATCATACTTGATCGTAAGCATTCTTGAATCCATCCCCTCCAAATGATATTAAATCCCAATTTGAACAGCATGTAATCAATGAATTCCCAACACACCTTGTCGAATGCTTTTTCGAAATCAACTTTGAATAAAAAGCTTTCCATCTTTTTCTTTTTCGCCTCATCTATAACCTCATTTGCTATGACTACTCCATCCATCAGTTGTCTCCCTTCAATGAAGGCCATTTGTTGTTCCCCGATCACCCTGTCCAGCACTTTTCGAAGACGATTTGCTAACAGCTTTGCTACAATCTTGTACATGACTCCGATAAGTGAGATGGGTCTGAACTCTTCAATTCTTTGAGGGTTCTCAACTTTTGGTATCAACGCAATGAATGAGGAGTTTGATCCTTTAACCAGTCTACCTTGCTCATGGAATTCCTGGATAAACCCAACTACATCTAATTTTAAATCCTCCCACATGGTCTTTATGAATTTAAAATTGAACCCATCTAGTCCTGGAGATTTTGTAGAGTCACAATCCCACACTGCACTCTTAATTTCCTCCTCATTGAACGGTGCCGTTAGAAGGTTATTGTCTGCCTGGGAGATTTGTTTGAATTTAATGCCATCGAGTTTTGGTCTTTGCCATTTTTCTTCTGCAAACATCTCCTCAAAATATTGAGCAACCTGCTCCCTTATTTTAGCCACTCCCACACACCTTTTGCCCTTATCTGGACACTAATAATTTCATTTTTTTCTCCATCTGCTCTTCACACATCTATGAAAAAATTTGGTGTTGGCGTCTCCTTCTTTTAGCCACATCTTCCTTGACTTTTGTTGCCACATGCTCTCTTTGATTTTTAGATTCTCCCAGAGTTGAAGAAAGCAGCGTCTTCTTCTATCCACCTCCTCTGTAGACAGTTGGGTATTCTCACCTTTGCTATCCAGTGCAGCTATCTCCATTTCAGCTTCATTTATTTTTTTGTCCAGTTGTGGCCTGGAGATACCACTCCACTCCTTTAAAGCTTTCTTTGTTTTCTTCAATTTCTCTTTAAGCCTATATCCCTTCCAGCCCTTAATCTCAGTTGTATTCCACACATTTCGGATCATCTCCACACACCCCGGTTGTTCCAGCCAAGCATCGAAGAACTTGAATGGTTTGAGCCCCCAATCAACCTTCTCTTCCTTAAGTAATATGGGGCAGTGGTCAGACACTGTTCTCTTTAACCCCCATTGCCTTATATCACCCCATTTCATAAGCCATTCTTCCGATAATAAAAATCTGTCAATCCTGCTCATGTATAGTCCATTGGAATTGTACCAGGTATACTTCCTCCTCGTCAATGGCAAATCCACTAATCCTGCATCATGGATGAAACTGTTGAATTCCTCCATTTCTTTGGACACCCCATTACTTCCTGCTCTCTCCTCCACACTTCTTATTGCATTAAAATCTCCCCCCAAACACCAATTCCCTTTCCTGCTATTAATCAATTTCAATAATTCCTCCCATAATGCCCTTTTGCCCGCCAGTATACAAGATGAGTAAACATTAACTATATACACGGGAGTTTGTTCCTTTCCCCATAATCCATACACCCCTATATAGTTATCTCCCTACAACACCTTTTTTTTTTCAAACATTTTTGGACTCCATATACAAAGTAGACCTCCAGACATGCCATTTGACGGTTTGTATATCCATTCAAAATCCTCCGAACCCCATATTCTTCTGCATATACTCCTATCAATAAACTCCTTTTTTGTTTCTTGAACAGATAAAAATTCCACCCGTTCCCTTCTAATGGTCTCCCTAATTTGTCTTTTTTTCCCAACCCCCCTAAGCCCCCTGATATTAAAGGAGAGCAATATCATCAGTAGTATTTCTTACCTTCTCTGCGTCACCCGCATCTTGGTTCACCATGCTTGCCTTTGATTGTCTATCTCTGCTCTCCATTTCTTCTATACGACTCATAACCTCTTCCTCATTCTCAGCCGTGACCCCTAATTGCTTTGCCAACTCCCAGATCTCCTTTGCAAGTTGATTTCTCATTTGCTTCTGCAATAATCTGTTGCAATTCTGAATCCCACTATCCCCAATTGAGTCATCTGCAATTTCGTCATTTGGGCTTGCAATAAACTCCGGCTCTGTTCTCCCCCCCATTTGCGTCTTTCTGTTTTTTCCTCTGCCTCCCATCCTCAGTCTTCCTCTACCGACGTTTGCTGATTTTCGGTACACCGTGCTACACAAACTGATTTTCTTCTTTTTCTTCTTTGGTTTTGACTCCGTTCTGTCCTTCATCCATTTCTGCAACCGAGCCTCGTCAGTCTCATGCCCTTTCCAGTCTTCGTCAAACTTATTCTAGAGATATCTTTGCTCTTTCCATGGCTTGGGCTTCTAACTGGTGTTATATTGTTCGACTAGCCCATGTTTGTTGACTGCTCATACTCTGGGCTTTCAACTATTATGATGGGCTTCCCCTACTGCTTCGAATTGATCTGCTCACATTGGCCCACTTGAGCTTCTTTTACTTCTTCAGCCACGTCTACCTCTGCAGCTTTCCCATGCTTTTGCATCAGCCCCTCTGTCCCTACACTACCCTCATCTTCATTCAAAATTTGAAATTGGTCACTATTATCAATCCCCCCTTGTGCTGTCATTTCCTTCTTCTGTTCATCTTTATTTCTAATTTTACCGTTGATCCTCACACCCTCGCTTGCCACGTCATTATCTTCATTTTCTGATTCACCATCTTCTTCGTTTGCCTGTTCTTCCTCTGCTATAGCCTCCTAGACATCTTCTTCCTCCTCACTGTCAACAGACCATGACTCGTGCTCTTCGGAATCACTCTGGAAGTTAGGCATGAAGTCTTCTTTCAAAACTTGATGTTGTACAGAGACCCATTAATTTTAACTTGTCTCATAATTGATATGGAATTCATGATCGGAGTCGAAATCAAGAATCTCGCAATGTCAAACCTTCTTTTATTGCTTGTGCTGTCATCCAAGCAAATAAATTTCCCCCATGGGCAGCTCATTTTTTCAAAAAAATCTATTTTCCATGCGTTGAGTGGAACCCCCTGGCATCTAATCCATGCGTATCTCTCTGTAGCAACCATGTTTGGAGTCCACAGATTAACACCTTCGAACCATTGTGCTAGCCACTCTGAAGCCATCTCCACCAAGTCCTTCAACTCTTCTTTGTCATCACTGTCAAGTAACACCATTTTGCCTCCCATTGCTCTGATGCGGCACCAAAAGTATCCTTCCATATAGAATTTTTCCTGCAAGTTCCGTACCATTTTGACGGAGTGTGCGACCCCCACATAACAACCTTCGAGCCATTTTTCATCTTTTGAGTTGGTATTGTATTCTATTCCCGACCATTTTTCTCCCACTCCTTTTTCTTTCCAAATTTTCCTGTTGTCGTTGATGCCATCCAAGTGAGTATTTCTGCTTCTGTTCTTCCCGGGCCAACTATGGTTGTTCTGCAGCTGTGTTCTTGTCTTCTCTTCTTTCTTTTCTTCTTGTTGACCCTTTACTGCTTCCGCATAGCTTCTATTCTGTGTTCTTAGGTGTGCTCCTTGATTGTCTCTGAATTCCCCTCCCTGTTTCTGTTTCTGAGAATTTTCATAACGTGGGTAGTTCACCCATAATTTTCGGTCTCCTACCCAAATTTGGTCCAGTTGCCTTTCCAACTCTCTCTTGTCCTTCACGTCCAAGAACCTTACGAAGCCGAACCTTCGTCCGTTTCTGCTTTTCCTTTTTGGACAGTATATGTCAAACACTCTTCCAAACTTCAAAAAAGTTCTCCACATATCTGCATGACACCATTCATCTGGGAAATTTGTGAAGAAATAAGGTGTGGCTTGTTTGAACAAGCCCCTGTCGTATGTTTCTCCTATCCTCCGCTTCTGTTGTTGATCTTGGCATAATCTGTTCTCCTCTATTCCACTGTTTCGGTCCATCTCTGCTGACATCTTCTGCTGGATCTTGCATGCTCAATACTCTGTACCGTCCTTCTTTCCCAGCCCCGGCGATCACCACCTCTCTCTCTCGCTCTACCTCTCTCTCTCATGCTTTCAAGAGTTTTAATTGTAGTTTTTAGATTTTACTTAAAATTAAAAAGGGAAGATGAGATCGAGACAGGATCGTAAGATCCCAATGTATTTATTTAATTAATAAAATAAATATAAATTATGTGAATATTTTAAAATAAATTTTTAAATTTATTTATTAATGAAATAAATCTAAAATAAAATAAATAAAGTAAATAAAGTACTTAATATTTAATAATTTATTGATAATTGTTATTTTTGACATAAAAGATAAAAGTAAATTAAAAGAAATAAAAAAATTTAAAAATAAATTATATAAATTATTATACAAACATTAATTCTATAATTTTATCTTTTTTATACTTTTATTGAATAATTTTAATGATACTAACTTATAATCATATAAATATATAGTATCTTAAATAAAAAAATAATTATTATATTGTACAAATAAAATATAAATTTATGTTTATTTTACATAAATAAAACAATATTTTTATATATAAAAGGTAAACCCAACAAGTTAAAAAAAATTTAGGGAGAATAAAGTACATACAATTAAAATTAAGTAAATCAAGACAAAGGAAAGTGCGATTGAGTTTTCAATGGAGGGACGATTCTGGCAGATCAAATCTGGCAAGCCGATTTGGACCCATGATCTTTACACCTATGACTTTTGTCCGATTTAGATTACCGAAGATACCTAACATCATAAAATCATGTAATCTGACGTTGAAGATCGCAATCTTAACAACCAAACTTGCCCTTGAACTACCTTGAATTAAGATTTGTCATCTCATTTTAATTCCAAAGAGTTTTGATGATTTTAAGAGGGAGAACTGCTGGCAGTTCTATGGCAAAGCATTATTTATCCAAATCTTTTTTTTTTTTTCTTTTTCTCTCAAACAAGAAGACACCGAATGGTATGTTTTACTATTTAATATATATTCCGTGTTTTGTTCTTGGCAATTCAGTGGTTGGAGCATGAGAAGCAAGATGCACTCTTTTTGAAGCCTTGCAAAAATTAAAAGAAGGTTTGCCACCTCTCTCTCTCTCTCTCTAGTAGCGTGCTTTAGACTACCACGGTAAAATGTTAAGGTAGCTATAAAAACGTTTTAGACACCAGGATATGAAGTCTCTCTTAAGGTGAGGAGAGAGAGAGGATTTTTCACTATTTATATTATTTACAAATTACATATAATATGATTTTAGGAATCATTGACATTAAGCCAAGATTACCAACATAAAGAATGCATTTATGTACAACGGCCATATTTTGATTAGCTTTGAGATTCTTTCCTATTCTTTCTTTGTATTATTTCCTTGGATTGCTCTTCATGACATTCTCTTGACCGTTGCTGACTTGTGCTCTTTCTTTGGTAATAATTTCCTTGATTTCCACTTTTTGCTTGTCTCCATGATTTCCTTGATTACAGTGGTTGATTGTGCCCTCAATAAGCTCTTGTCACTCTAAGTAATTAATCTGTGTGTTTAACATTTATAAATTTGTCTTTGAATTTTGTGAATGTGGATGCCATTTTTATTAGGTCCAAAACTCCAAACTATTACCCAGTTATCCATACTGTCCATGCAACTGTGCCTTATACCTTTGTTAAAATGCCAAAAAAAGAAGCTTTGTGCATGGTTTACCTTATACGCAGTCTTACATTATGCCTAATTTTTGTGAGTTATCTGTTATGGTAATCAGTATGTTCCTGATGCTTACAGAATTGATGCTATTAGGATTCATTTCCCTCCTATTAACCGTCTTACAAAGTGTTCTGGTTCGAATGTGTGTCACACCTTATCTCATATCTCATATGCTTCCCTGCAAGAGGCATACTGAGTCCAATTTTCATTTTCTCAAGCTATAAATAATACAAGGTGTCTACTTTCTGAAGACGGTAGTTTGCAACATTGTACCAAAGAGGTATGTAGTTAGGCTTTAACTTCAACCCAATTGTCTATTTTTCAATATACAGTTGAAACTCTAGGTAGATATGGTTTGCACGTTAGTTTCAACTTTCAAGGAATCACCACCCATATTTTATTCGTTTTCAACTGTTCTTTTTGCTCTTTAATGAAAAAATAACTAGTAGAGAAGATCATGCTCATCCAAAGAAAGTGGCATTTGTTTCTATATGCATTAGTTTCTTCTAGTAGAATATTTCTTGGTAGGATTGTATAATGTCTCGCAAAGTTGGACCATGTATTTGTAGTTACCCTTCTCGATATAGGTTTCTAATTGGAGTGTGTGCTAAAGCTTTGATGAAAAGAATAGTAAGAAGAGGAAGGAAAATGTTGATGTAAAGGCATTCAAATGCTCAACTCAAATACAAATTCACAGAAAATCTCAAATCAACATGAATGAATAAAAAGCTATAACTCATTCCAATGTATAGATTCAAACAACAACAGTTGCTTTTTGAATGAAAAAATGATCCAATGGTGCTCCTGTTATTTTGGTGCTAATGGTTGCTTTTTGTGCCTTTCTTTTTCTATCCTCAGGGGAAGGTCGCATTATTATCATTGGAAGCATTGCACCAGTTGCCCATATTCATCTTTGTGTTGGCCGTCGCTCATGCGATATTTTGTGCCACTACAATGGTTCTTGGAGGAGCAAGAGTAATTCACTGCACTATAGTTTGCGTAACACATTCCTTAAGATCAATATGTTTGCATTCAAAGTGTTCTGTTTTCATTACTGTCTGTTGGTTGCGCCTCTCAAACTAACAATTGTTTATGATTTAACCTCATGTACATACGTCAACGGAAGCACTGGGAGCAATCGGTTAAGAATCAATCTGAAGTTGAAAAAGGTAGCATTATCTATTTTTAACTACTGTTTTCTTAGGTTGGACGCGTATAAGATCCATCTTATCTGCACTGCAGTTCCAGACTTCCAGGAAAGGACAGTCATCGCCATGAGTTCGTCCACCAACATGCAGGTGGGAAGTGGAGGAAGTCAGCTGTAATTAGTTGGATGGTAAGTCTCACAACTTTTGTAGTATATTAAAGTGACAGGTAACCAACTAAATACATTTATTTATGTTAGTTTAATTTTTTTATTATTGATTTATTTTCCTTTAAATTGTTTTTTCTCTTATTGTTTCTGATTAGTGCATAAGTTTAGAGGAAATTTAAGTCTTATGAATATTGAAAGCACTTTAACTTTATTTCTTCAAGTACATAAAATTTGGAAACTTTCTTTTCTTCTTTATTTATTTTTTCTAACATTGAGGACAATATTTGATTTAACTTTGGGGACAGAAAATATATTTTAATATTCATATTTGCATTAGATCAAATTCATATTTGTTTGCACACCACTTTTTTTTCTTTAGAAAATATATTTTTTAGGAATTTGATCATTTAGCATCAAAGAATTGAAAATTCAAGAGTTAAAAAGTTGCAAGTGCTTTATTTGAAAAATACAACATTTGAAAAATAATGTCATTTTGATTAAGTTTAGGTTTGTGAGTGCCTATTTTACTTGAGCACAAATTTTTAGTAAGAAGTTTAAAGAGAAGACTTAATAACACCTAAAAAGCACATAAAGGAAAAAGAAAAACCAAAAAAAAAAATGTTCAATAAATCATGAAATAATTGGGTGGTGGTACCTAGTTCAAGCATCATCATTCACATGAAAAGTGATGAATTGGGCGG